AAAACATTTGAGTTTGTAAACATTTTGCAGCCAAAATATGATTATCAATATGATTATCGTTATTAATTGCACAGCAATTTTCTAATCTGTTGTTAACATGAGAAAATGTTGTGCTAGCCAAAGGCCTGCAGAACCGACAACTAGGGGAAAGGGCATACACTGGAAAAAATCGCGCCCTTTAAAGGTTGTAAATTTGATGTATATATGATGTAAGTGTCCAAAATGATTTACAACCTTTATGGCGCGCGATTTTTTTTAGGAGAAACTTGGTTATGACCATGCATGGTACAACATACATATACGGTCGCGTTAGATTTTTCATATTTTGAAAATTAGGTAACTTCAGATATCGCCATTCGGCAATCTTAAATTGATCCATTCATAGAGCATAAAGGGATAATAAGAGTAAGCTTTTGTTTATACTACAATATATATTTTTATATCTTTAAACAAATGAAAAAGCTCGAAAGGGATGCCTGTGCATCTTTGTTGTTTTTTGTGACGAAGGCCTTCTGGGAAGGCTTCGTCACTATGTCATCGGTCTGAGTGAAAGAGTTGTAACCATTCCAATTCAAGCAGGCATTCCTAGCTGTTATTATTATTAGCTGTTATTATTATTAGCTGTTGTAAAACACGTGATCGTTGTCCTGACCATGTGCGTTCTCTAGCGACGTGTTCGCTTTCGAATGTGAGCTGTTGTTCTTTTATCACAATACAATGTATTTAAAGAACTAGACACAAATTTCTATCCATTTGCAGTCAAATTTGTATTTCTAAAAACATATTTCAGATTTTGGGGCGCTTTATATGGTTTGTTTGCTAACAAAAGTCCGATTGCTTCGCTTGGCTTTAATATTACACAAGACCTCAGTGCAGGCGGCGTTCTTCAATTCCATTAGGGGAACAAATAAACCCAGAAATGGCGTTCAAAATCTCCTTCGGCAGACTCAAACTTCCCTTCAGGGAAACAAGTAGTCACAGCAAGTTATAGTCTAGCTCGCTTAGTCGTTTATTAATATTTATTGAGCTTTTGTATTATTCAATGCTAGAGTACAAACACTAAAAGAGTCAAAAGAATTAGCATATTTTAGCAGTATTTAGTGGTATTTATGTTGCACAGTTCCCTTCCTTCCTTGTGTCATCCATCTATTGACGGTGAAACGTTAGTAAACATTTATTTACATAATTGACATTGTTCATTAATATATTGTTTTATAGAGCGGATTTCGTATGAGTGGGACACCGTTACCGCACGGTTACCGCACAGTTACCGGACCTGGCCTTCACAATTTTGGTGAAACAATGGGGCACTAGAATTTGGTTACAGTACGATTACGGTCACAGTACAGTACCGTCCGTTTCCCACTCATACGAAATCCGCTCTATAATCTAAATACAGCAATATGCAGAAATTATGGTCCTTTTTGCTCATACTTCAAGTATATATAAAATATATCAGAATTATGGGATGTCATTTCCAATATTTGTTTTAGAGAGTACTAGTGCTAGGTAACTTAAAAAGAATATCTGCAATGATGATAATATCTTAATTTATAAGCCTCTATTTTGTTCTATAAACTATAAAAACTATATATAAACTATAAAAATTAATAAAGATACATGCTAGTGTTATTTTTGAAATTCACTGATCATACATTGAAATACCAGCCATAATAGAGTGAACTCACTCACTGAATAGTGCAAAACTAATGATAGATTATGTTAATACTCTATTTATGGTTATCAAAACTATTTAGTACCATAGTAATATTTGTTGGATGAATTTAGTGAGTTAACTCTAGATATCATTGCCTAAAAGCGTAAAACATCTACAACATAACAACAATGACTGTCAGAAGAATTTTTTAAGATGGAATTACAAGGTCCTAAGTTATCTTTGTTTACTATTTTGCAAATAATATGAAAGAGACCACAAATTACACTTTCTTATGTCCTATTCTAGATCTTTATGTTCCTATTAAATCTCTTATGCCTGAGTCACATGCAGTCCTCGACTGCGTATTTTTTTTTAATCTTACACAGGGAAAAGAAAACTAAAACAAGTTCCTAGACGCACCATCCCTATTGATTGTAGATGGACAATGTAGATCCAGTCTGGTTGTCGAACAGAATACTTACATTAAAGGTCAAAAAGCCCGTGTGAAATAGATACAGTAAACTTATTAACGTTGTTCAGTTGTAAAGACGTTAAGACGACAACAACGTCATTTGTATCAAACGCGGTTTTTGAAATTCTCAGGAAGGTTTTTAATCCCAAAATTTAGAAAAATAGCAGATTAAATTATGTTTTAAATACAGTCAGTTTCGTATGAGTGGGAAACGGACGGTACTGTATGTAACCGTAATCGTACTGTAACCAAATTCTAGTGTCTCATTGGTTCACAAAAATTGTGCAGGCCAGGTCCGGTAACTGTGCGGTAACCCGCGTGCGGTAATTTCTACCGTACGTTTCCCACTCATACAAAATTGACTCTAAATTGTATATTACACTGACACAACTTAATGCGCTCTAATTGCATTGTTTTCTTTGTTGTCTATTTGACTATCACACTTAAATAGTCAAGTTTTGTTTCACGGGTTTGGTGACCCCACTCCATTAAATTCCACAAAATAATACATAGAGAGATTAGTACAATTTTAAGTGCGTTCACTCCGTGACTCCATTGAACCACTATAGCACCACCTGAAGCGATACTATTTTTACATAATGTCAACAACGTATAAATCACATATGCCACTGAGCTACAAATAAGTATATCAGATATTATGTTTTACTCTTGCGCAGCATGCATTTAGCGTGGGTTCTGCTTTTAWAGAGTGGGTTTCCTAAAGCCGTGAAACTGTTACTAAAATATTAAATTGTAAACACTAAAAGCGTGAAATAGTATTAAGCAAATAGTGCTAAATAGCGCATTATAGTTTAATTTTAGACAATAGAAAACAAAGGAATACGCATAATTCACGTACAATTTAGTAATATTTAATTTAAAAGGTTTTCAAGGTTTTAGAGTGAAATCATATTAAACCCGTGAAACGAAATTTCACTATTAAAGTGTGATGAAGTCAAATAGAAACAATAGAAAACAATGAAATTAGAGCGYACGAAGGTGTATTAGAGTAATATCTATTTCACGGGTTTTTTACTTCTTCAGTCTAWGCGTTTGCACTCCAGTGAAGTTTGAATTTATTTTTGTTTTGTTTTGTTTGTTTTTCCTAGTAATAAATAGGTACACTCATCTATTCATAGTCTTTAAAAGCGAGCTTATCTATCTATATCTTCACTAAAGCACTTACTTTTTGAGATACAAATAGCGATAAAACCAAGTAGACAGCTTTGATTGTTAACACAAGCAATGCCAATGTTTATAGAGTGCATCTACTAACATTTGGTACAAACATCTGGTTCAAGTTCGATCGTCGACGGAACTTCAATCTTCGCATTTCGTAGCTACCATTGGGTCATCTCAACTCCATTTATGGCAAATGTTTAAATCTATTGGTTGTATATTATATCATCGAGTCCATTTGAATTTACAAATTCGAAGTGTTGACATTATAGGCGATAGGCAATTAAGTCCAATTTTAGTGCTTTCTGGATTCTAAATCAATACTCCAGTTTCGTGATCTTATTTGCGCACCCTTAGCCTCGCAAGCATGTAATATATTCTTTTATTGAGCAGAGATCCTTTTGTAATGCAAAAACTCTATATACAAAGAAGACAATAAAAAATTATGCTTGATTGAAGCTAAGTTTGCACAAAAGAAAATTCGAAACTGGAGTATTTGGAGATTGCAGTCTCGATGCAGTCATGAGGATCGAGCTACAATCGAAGCAGCTCTATTAAGCGGGCACCTTGGGGAATTAAGACCAGGTGACCGCTTAATAGAGGTTTCTGAGTTCAATTTCAGTAAATATATATGAGAATCAACTTTTGGCGAATTTATGAGTGGCCGCTTAATGTAGGGMGACCGCGCGCWAAATAGAGGGTCGTTTARTAAAGGTTCGACTGTACTCCTTGAAATCAATGAAAAGCTGTCCCTTGAAACTCKTTTTTAGTGACRCTTCAAAAGTTTATATGCTATCTACGCTTTTTTAACTTTTCGTTCAATAAGAGGGCTTATCTGCTKATATCAAAAATTGGGCTGCCTGTTGTTTGTTAGAMCTCCTGAAACACCGAACTTCGATCGATAAAAAACACAGGTCGGTTTTTACTTCAACCCATAATGCATCTCGAGCATTTCATCAGGGAAAAAGACAGCTAAAGCTTTCACGTCACCTACTTGATTTGCAATGCATTGTGGGATCATTTTGTAAAGAAAGCAAAAGAAATCCGCCATGTTTTGTCCCAAACATATCCTATCATGCATGATTTTCAAAATGGCGGGAAAAATACCTAGATGGACAGGATTGCAAAATAATCAACAACAAACAAACAAAAATAAATAAATAAATAAATAAATAAAATCATGACGTTCAGTAGTTTAAACTAAAGTACTTTATTCGGAAACTTTTGGTAACGCGCGAGTCTACAATTTGTAAATAAAATGTATTTTCTACAAATTTTTGTTTATAAATCAATCGGCTGCAAGAATTGTTRAATTCTTCTATCTTTTAACCATAAGCTTCTATTGRGTTCTTGTCAGTGCACCAGCGCCGCCACCAAAGCCATAACCTTTCGGTCCAAAGTTTTTCCCATGGCAGGTCTTACAGTATATTTCGTCTGCAGAAAACACACATGCAGTCAGTCCATTAACATTGTCCAGTTGTAAAGACATAAAAATAACAACAAGAAGTTTCGGCATATAACATTTTTTTAAATTCTKTGCAATCATATTTAACATAAAGTTGCAAAAAAGCATTACAATGTCTCGGAAACTAAAAGGATTTTTATACTTTTCGAGGACTGGGGGGCAAGTTTTGACTAACCACTGTTAGTAAACAAGGCTCTAGGGAAAGAATAGAAAATTATTTTGTTTTTCCTTAGTAGTCTCGTCCTCAGTTCTTTTGTGTAAGTCCATTCAACCACTCAAAAATATATTTTTTCAGGCATGATTCCAGCCACATATTTCTTGTAATTAAGGGTAGTGTTCTTAATGAATTACCTTCATGATTAGCGCAAGTTGTGCTGTCAAGCTTTTTATTGCAGTCTTTGCAAGAGAAGCACCTTTTATGCCAATTCTTGCCAGCAGCTTGTACAGATTCGGCATGATATGCTCTGTCATTACAGCGAGGACAACGATCGGCCATGATTGGTTAAACCTAAATCATACGTCGTAATCAACAGATGTAACAAGATTTTTGATTGGATGAAACCACTTACTTATTGATTGGTTAAACCTAAATCATACGTCACAATTAAATATAACAAGATTTTTGATTGGATAAACATGAACGTATGGTTGTTGATTGGTTGAAACCTAGATCATACGTCATATAATTAACAAATATAACAAGATTTTTGATTGGATAAAAACTACTCTTATGATTGGTTAAACCTGAATGATACGTTGTCATCAACAAATATAACAATAGTTTTGATTGGATAAAAACTGCAAACTGCTCTTATGATTGGTTAAACCTGAATGAACGTCATCATTAACAAATGTAACAGGAGTTTTGGTTGGATAAAAACTACTCTTATGATAACAGCGAAAAATATAATAAATGTTTTCTCGTTGTTCTGGAAATTGGCTAAAAGAATTTCAATCTTTGGTTTTTAGATATATTACTTGTTACTGATACTATTATAGTTAAACGCAGTACTTTCGTTTTTTCTAAGTGCCATCGAAATCGGCCGTAAAGCACTGGTGTCTTTGAGCTCCTTCAGTTTCTTCTTTTTTATACATTTAATTAAAAATAAATGACGCATGTTTTAAAAATTCCAACTAAGTGAAGCATTTTCTATTTATATGAGGAAAATCGAGTTCTTTTAAGTTGGTCAAACGGCCATTTAAAACGTTTAGTATGGGAGGGTTAAAACATGTATGAAACACAAAAAGTGAACTCGTTTTCTACATATAAAAAAATAATACACGACCGCATTGAATGCTGGTTAATCTTTGCCCTTTAAACACTTGTAGTATGGAGACACATGACATCGTAATGAAGTTTTATTATCTTCTTTTTGGAAAGCGTGTGAATGAGCTCTTACCGTTAAGAACAGTGAAAAGTTTCTACGTACAAGGGCAGTGCGAGCTTATGTATCCGTTACAAATTATTTTAGTATAAACAGTAAACTTTTTATTCTTTTTTATGCTGTGTTAGGTTTGTATTGTTGTTTTTAAGTCATACATGAAAGGTTTAGGAAGAACCATAACCAGATTACAAAATGAAATTAGAAAAAGTCTGAATAATATAGGCATTGTACCAATCGGCTTACTCAGTCTGCTGGGAACTATTGTCTTGCTAGAAGAACAACGTGAACTAAATCTGTTCAATAAATACCACTGAAAAGACTATTTTCTCAGCTTAAAAACAAAAAGCTTAGTATATTTTGGGGCTTCTCTGTACAATTGAAACGTTTTTTTTGAATGTTAGGGAGATTTTAACCGAAAAATAACACAGATAGAATTTCACGCACGCTGGTCTAGTGCGTTCGACAGCAAAGGAAGTCAAGGAAGGTCAAAAATGCACATCGCAACGTTATAACATTCCATTTTGAGGAGAATTGATGGTATGTCAATCTCCTGCTCTTTCAATCGTGTCGTTAAATCGTTGAAAACATATTCTGTACGCCATGAGTTGCATAGAAATAAAAAAATAAATACACAAAGAGGAAAAACTAACTTAAAGCAAGAGAAATCGAGGAGCTTTTCATGATAACATGGGCCGTTTGTGGGTGGCTTCGTCTCCGAATTAAAATACCAAAACACAGAGAGCATTCAGATCTGTTGCACAGTTTTTCGATATTATCACTTCAATTTTGCAAATTTCGAAGATACTTTAATCTTTTTACAATTTCTGAGTGATTTTAAGTATTTTGTTTGAAGAATTTTTTTCATATTATGTTCAAACTCTTTGAGTGTATGTTTTCAGGGTCTCTATTTGATTACGTCTTTGTTTGGAGCGAAGAAAAAAGTTAGAAGAATTTATTTGTACGATTTTACGTGATTTTAAATCTTGGCGTACAAATCGCCCAACGAAGCGCTCAGCAATCACAAAAGCAAGGGCAAAATATCATATTTTTTCTCTACTTTTTTTCATTTTTCTTGCTCTTGTGCTTGCGATTTGTTTCATAGTGAAAATCAAATACAACGCAAGAACTCTTGCCCTTGCGTCGCTATTGAAAACCAGGCTTACGTCAATGCCAATCGTCTAGTTAACCCGAACGGTACTCGTTCTTACTTGTGTTATCAAAAGCAAAGAAATCGGCATTAGATTCATAAAATCGCTGCCAAAAACACTTTCCTCTTTTTAATTGACATGTTTAATGACTGATTGCATGCGAACTATTTTACGTTGATTGAAATTTACCCTTACCTTTGAACGTAAAGCTAGCTTTGTACCTTTTAGTTGACCTGTAGTCCTTCTTCTAAGCTCGCTGCCAGCTCACGCAGTCGAGATTTAAAGCGATGCATGCATAGTATGCCGGGAAAAGCGACAACGAAGTCCCAACTAGTCCTTGCGGGTGTATGGAACCATAACATGATTACAAAAACGTAAATAAGGATAGTTTTATTTAAGATAACATTGAAATCATTTGATAAGTAAAAAGCTAATCTTCTCCCAGTATATTCGTATTTGAAAGTACTATTAGTAGGTGTTGTTTTCATAAACTCGTGAAAAACTTATTTTTGAATGCTACAGCTATTCGAACCTCTATTAGCCCTATATTTAATGGTCGGTCTTAACAGTCAACCTCCATTGAGCGGTCTGTAAACGTGAACTCTATTATGCAGTCACGTGGTCTTTCCCCTGGGTTAGTGCTAATAGGCGTTCGACTGTATTCCAATGTTGCAGCATGACCATTGCGATTTTTTACACTGCTCCACGAACTATGAGTAACGGCCATTGTTTCACGGGATTATGAAAACCATACTGAGGCCTCGTCCACAAGTAGCCGGAAATTCTGATTTTTACGGATATTTGTGATGGACATATACCAAATATTCGCATCCACAGGTATCCGTTTTCAAATAAGCATTTCCAGTCTATATTGCAGCCATAGAAAGATTGTTAACTAAACACAATATGCAGGTAAGCGAAATTTCCGGTTAAGTATGGACGCTCCCTAAATTTTGTTTAGTAACTTCACATAGTAACGGTACAATTAAAGTTTTTTTTAATTTTTGGGGTCGCTGTGTTACTGAAGTTCCAGTCAAATCATTCGGTCCTCGTCAGAGCGCCTGCACCACCACCAAAGCCATAACCCTTGGGTCCATAGTTTTTGCCATGGCAAGACTTACAGTAGACTTCACCTTTGAATGGAACGAGAGTTGATTATTAGTGATTCTACGACGTCATCTGTCTACGTCACTACATGTATTAATGACGTCATCGTTTTGCGGAGTTAAGACGTTTTTAGCGTACGTCATCTTTCTACGTCACTATGGAGATGAATGACGTCAAGTTTTAATACGTCATTAGTCTAATGCATTGAAGATGTGCATCAGGACGTCATCAGTTTACGTCATCAATCTACACTATGCTGGTCTATGAGTCCTTTGTTTGGACTCCGACGAAAAGCCATGTACATAAACTGTACATGCGGTATTGAAAACATATGAAGGTAACTGTGCGGTACGCATGCGCGTAGCGACACATAAGTGTCGACATGGCTTATTCCACATTTCTCTTAATTCCTCTGACAGTCTCAATTACATGCACTATTGAAAACATATGAAGACAATATGTGGTGCGCATGCTCGTACGGTCAGTACGTGTCGACACATAGCTTATCCCACATTTCTTAGTTAATGTAGCATACCTTGATGAGGCGCGCAAGTTGTGCTGTCTAATCGCTTCTTACAGTCTTTACACGCAAAGCATCTCTTATGCCAGTTTTGTCCCTCCATAATAACGGACTCGGCATGATAGGCCTTGGTACTGCAACGAGGGCATACATCAGCCATAGTGATTGGTTAAACCTGTAGAAAACGTCATAATTAGAGATTATAGATATAAGACACCTGTTGATTGGTTGGCTAATGATATGTGAGGTTGGAAAAAGAGGAGACAATGCAGCGACGTCATTTTGTAAAACAGTGCATGATGGGAATTGTAGTTATTTGACTTTTATAGTGCCTAAAAAAATCTCCCTAAAAGCCGCCGTTTTTATGTTTCTTTTCTAGAATACGCATAACTACTTATTTTTTCGCAGAGAAAAGAACAAAAGCGAGTTAGAGGAATTTTCTTAAAGCCGATTTAGAAAGCGCAACGTTTGCCTACAACCATCGCATGGAACCTGCTTAAAGGGTCATCCTTACGACATGGCTACAACTGTCGCGAGGCTATTGAGCAATTGTTTTAAATCCCTACAACAGTTGTAGCCATGTTGTAAGGACGACTTACGCAGGTTGCATGCGATGGTTGTAGACAAAAGTTGTGTCGTCTAATTCGGCCTTTAGGGGATCACGACTCCTATCATCGTTTGTCAGGCTATTTAAAAACAAACTTGTTGAAACTTGCTTTCTAATTTAAGCCCCGTTTACACTTGCGATTTTTGCAGAGTAATTCTCATGGCAATCGTCGCGCGACCATCGCCTGAGTTTCGAACATGTTTCAAAATTGGCTGCAACCGTTGTTCGCGGCGATTTTCCATCGCCGCTACAATCGCAGGGCTGTTTACACGTACGATTTTAGTTGTGCGATAGCAAAGTGGCGATTATCGCGCTACAAAAATTGCAAGTATAAACTGCGGGCATTATCTGGTGGAAAATCGATCATAGATGGCGATATTTATTGTTGTAAAGAAATCGCGAAAAGGATCTCGGGTGTGTTTGGGCCTTTAATTAACAAACCCGAATTGATTGAGTGAAGTGAAAAATCTCAAGAATTTTTGATTCTCGGAACATTTAATCTTGAAAGGCACTTGACAACATAAAGTAGCATGGCGCAGTGAAATAAAAAATAAAAAAACATGCTATTTTGTCTGTTTATCCTGATGCTGTGATCTATTTTTCTAAAACAATATTATCTCAATCAAATATACGAGGGAGAGAAACATTACAATTAAAAATCAGTCGCGCTGTGTGGAACAGAGTTTTGCTTTTGTTTGTAACGTAGAGCGGCACACCTTTCTCTTTATTGATTGTCAGTCGGCTGGTCGAAGCGGTATGAAACCTTCTGTTCAAAAATACAAAAGGCTGGCTATCTATTTTGCCATTAAAAACATTTAATAAGATTATTTATCGAAAAAAGTATATTGGTAACATACTTGGATCAGAATTTAGCAATTTGAAAGTCGAAAAAATGGATTTTTTCATTTTCTACATAATCTCTGAGGTCAGATTATTTTTTCTATGTCCAATCTGTTATAATGTATTCTTTCAATATTAAAAGCGCAATCATTTTAGGTTTAAAAGTTATTCAATGACATAAATTCCCAATTTTAGAAACATTGACCAGAAAGCAATAACGAAAATGAGAGTTATCAAAATTCATGTTCTCTTTATATATTTTAAAGACTAGATTTTCTTAAGCTTTTGGTCTATTTTTATTCAATTAAGATTAATTTAGGTGGGGCTAATTACCTTAAAGATCAGACAGAAGAAGTCTTKTACCTTTGSTTGGGTKTTGAATATGGTGGCGTTAAATCCGCGAAGTGCGTCTTTTAAGTGGCAAAACGTAGCTCGCTCAGGAATCTGGGATACACATTTGCCACTAGTCTTTTTCGATATTTCGACTATGTAGGAGATGAACAKAGTACTCCTACAAGTGCCTACGTCACAAAATACGTTTTTTCTCTCGAAATTATGGGATTCCGTGCTATACTCTAAATGGGTAGGATGGCTGTTTTACCATTAGTACGGCCTACAATTTTTACCTTATTTTACGTAAATAGATTCGAGGCTTTTGCGTTTATTAACTAGACGAAAGAGAGATCTTCCATTTTTCCATTTTTCTGTCATTCTYCCCATCATGTTCTTCTCCCACCACATCAATCACTTTCATCCACTATTATCGTCGAAAAATGATATATTTGTGCATAAAAATTGAAATGCGAAACAATGTCARAGGACTTGTTCTCACCATGACATAAGAGTCAACATAAAGGACTTGTCAGAAATTAGCAGGGGGGGCGGAGGGGAGGTTGAAATTGAAAAGTGGGTATATACTTGGAATAAGGCGACCTACCATAGTAGTGGAAGTGGAATTTCCTAACTCTACCTATATTTTGGACGAGCAAAATATCCTGACCTATCCCCCCCCCCTCCTCTCATCCAACCATTACCACAACAACCCTCCCCATGTTTCCATCCCCCCCCCCTTTCTATGCAGAAGCAGAAACAGAAGCGTATTCACAATTGAAACAAAGATGAGCATTTGCTTATGTTGCGCCGCGGTGCACAACTTATGATATTCAAACATAAACATATGCAGAAACGTTTTCATGGAAAACGTATTTTTTTTATTTTCTTGCGTTTCTGTTTATGTTGTACTAGACTGGTTTACACGTACAGAAATTTACTTCTTCTGATTCTACTTACATCGTAATTTAAGCAACCCTAAAAAGATAGTAAGCAATCGTAATGAAAGTGGTAGGGCCGTTATAAGCTATACGTTTGAGTTGCAACAAAACAATGTATCCCTTCCTTGATTCAACTTAGTTTAGAGTGAAGTTATTAAACCCATGAAACAAAAGTTGAAACATTAAAGTGTGATAGCCGAATAGACACAAAAGAAAACAATGCAATTAGAGCGTACTAAGGTGTATTAGTGTAATATCTATTTCACGGGTTTAGAGTTAAGCACAACAACCCGTGAAATAGAAAGTGCACTACTACACGTTAGCAAGTTTATAATATCTTTTGTGTCTTTTTGGCTATGACACTTTAATAGTGAAGTTTTGTTTCACGGGTTTATTAAGACTTCACTCTAGTGATCTCACTATTCGCCTTGTATAACCACTCACTCTAGTAACCTTAAATTTTATGGCAGAAGATCTTTTTCTTTTGCAGCTCCTGAGCTATGGAACTCTATCCCTGAGAACGTCCGTGGAGCCAAATCAATTTGTATTTTTAAAAAGGAAATTAAAACTTGGCTTTTTAAGAAAGCCTTTTCACTTAAATAGTTCTGTATTTTTAGTGTTAAATAATTATTATTGTATTAGTGTTTTATGCAAAATATAAAAAAAGTATGTGATTTTGAAAATATATTTTACAAATAAACATTTATATCTTTTTTCATAAATTTTTATAACTATATTTTTATAAATTTTGTAAAGCGCATCAGAACTTCATTGATATTTTGCGCTATATAAATACTATTTATTATTATTATTATTATTATTATTATTATTATTATTATTATTAGTAAAAATCAACACACACAATGTGAACAATATACTTTTTCTTTATTGCAATATAGACATCAATGAAAATACATCATCTCATGGGAAAACACTATGCTAAGTTATGCTTATTGGACATAATTATCGATAAAAACAAATCAAATTTATTTTACACCAATCAAAAAAATTACGGAAGTGTTAAAATGCAAACTAGCTAAATTTCAAATTTCAAGCTATTTGGTGAAAAAGTAAGGGGTTTACTGTCGGGGGTAGTGTGGGTAGATTTATTGCGTCCTTGTCAGGGCACCTGCACCCAAGCCATAACCGTACCCTTTGATTCCAAATTCTACTGTGTGGCAGCCTTTGCAGTAGACCTCTCCTAGTGAAACCAGAATAAGGAAATTAGAATCAGTTACACTCTAAAGGGCTACTTGGACGAAAATTTCGAATCATTAGAAAAGACTTGGAAATCAAATAGACCTATCCATATGGGTKTAATAATCATGAAGCAGCAGATTTAAAGAAAATATTCATGCAAATCCTTGATAATTTGGACAAAAMATGTTGGAGTAGATGACGTCATTTACTCCATCCTTTTGTTCTTCCATCTTTTTTGAATCAAAAKTTATCTGATGTGGGATAATTCCAAAACAAATATTTTCCCTAAATTGTTTTTAATAGATATCAATGAGTCATATATTTGTATTACTTGAAGTTTTGAAATAAGGCCATTTTAGCACTTAAATGGCCATTAATGTTTTCCAGATTGTTCATTTAACGATGATGTGTTATGCCAATATGATACAACTGTTGTTTTGTTAATGCAGATCAATTGACAATGGATGTGTTGAAAATGCAGTAAAACCTCGTTAATGCGGCCACCGAAGGACGTAGTAACGGGGTGGTCGTTTAATTCACCGGTACATAAAAATTGGCTGTTATRAGGTTGTGGTCGTATTAAGCGAGCTGATCGTAAGGTGGGGTTTCATTGTAGCATCATCTAAAAAAGGATGTTTTGGCTAGCATGGGTTCTTTAGAAGAAACAGCAACCCCTGGGTTTCCGAGAATGTAGGGCTATTTTAAATATGACGAGCAACAACAAAATAAAATAATGTATTTTGAGTGCAAACAGTAAAAACTTTTAAAAAATTTTAGTAATTAAATCTAGAGTAAATGGCTGGATTAAACGAACTCCTTGGCTTTGTTTTCTGTTGTCTTAGCTACACTATATTTCGCGTTTTAGCACTATTTTTGACTAGTTTGTAATTTCACGATTTTTAGTGTTTGCACTCTGTGAAGTGAAAGGAAGAACCTACTCTCGTGAGAGCAAGCATTGGTGCTGTCTAGCTTTTTCTTGCATCGTCTGCATGAAAAACATCTCTTGTGAAATTTCATTCCTTCCATGGCGATGGATTCGGCATGATACGCCCTGTCCCCACACCTTGGACAGCGGTCTCCTTGRGGCTTGGCTACTTGGTCAGACTCRCCATAGTCGGGAGTRGCTGACACTTCCTGTTGCTCGTCATCAGACATTTTRACTGGAATGGAATTGGTGAATAAAACATCAGTCAAATACGTCGAATAATAAAAATATAAAGATCCAACCAGTTTGCAACATTCAATTTGCTCAAGGGCACTATTATCTTTATAGCATCAATCAAATCCAGCAATCTGATCTGTTTTCTGAACTATGACCTATTTATGTTGCCATCTCTGATTTTGAACTAATCAAAGAGCAACTTTCAACAAGAGCTACCCTGGTTTCAGAGGCTTGTATTTTATTCTTTTGATTACTATGTTGTGTGGCGAGATGATCGGTTTCTTTGTTGTTGTTTTTTACGCAAAGCCTCTGGTATCGSAAAGTTTCTCGGATACAAATGGGTCTTTAATATCAGCGACGACATAAGTACTACCAAAACATTTAAGTTTCCCCCCTTTTTTTCATTTATAAGCATCAATTGTTATTGTTTTTGACAAAAGTAATTAGGCAGGTATAATTCAACTCTTTATCCAGAAAAAAATAAAAGAAAATATCTATGTAATTGGAGATTAGTTTCAAAAAGATAAAGTTATCTATTGGATTACGTTATCCACTTTATGGATTACGGACTTTCCCAGACCTTTTGGGGCTGGACATTTGACATTTGAGGGGGTGATGAATATGATATAAAGGTGCAGGAAAGTTTTTTTATCCTAAGCMAGTGTTTGACATTTATTTTGTAAAATTGCAAAGATCTTAGTGAAATTTCGTGAATTTCATGAAATTTTGTGAAATTTCGTGAATTTTGTAAAATTTCGTGAATTTTGTGAAATTWCGCTTTGCAAGAAATGTATTTTTTTGAATCATCCATCCTTCACCTCAAAATCTAATGGTTAGTCCTTTGGCTTGTTTGTGGAGTTGGGCTGCATGTGCACACTACATTGTACTCCTCAACTCCCTTACGTTTCTCCTAACTCAATTAGTCACGCAACAAGAACAGTGTCCTTTCGCTTCCAATTCCGGTATTCTTAATTCTTAAATTTGTTTTATAAAAAAAATTCATAAAATCCATGAAGGTTCTTCGAGTTAAAAAAACACCGGGGATCATCTCCCGATTCTTGCAAATTTCCGATTAAGTTCCGATTTAATTCCGATGCAATTCCGATTCACTTCCGATAAAATTTTCAATTTTTAAAGAGATTTTAAATCTTTCAAGAGATTTTGTGAGAAAGTAGTGCGAACAAGGCGTCAAATGTCTCACCATATTTAGTAATGGTGTTAGGAATGCCCCYAAGCTATTCTAGAATAGCCTGGAACTTCGTATTTACAAGTACACAACATTTCTAAATACCACTGCCTTCTGTCTTACAGTTTCGACGACAAATCGGTAAAAAATCTAATAATATTCTACCAGCGACTTCGTGCTAGCACGCTGAGCTCTCAAACTATTCTTAGTTACAGATAAGAGCACTTTACAGAAATGAATGTCAATTTAACTCCATATATGTACAATTGTAMAAATTTTGAGGTTTCATACCAAAGGTTGAAAGGTCAGACCGCCATSTTTGCAAGAAAGTATTATTGAGTTTGTTGTCATTTGGTGAGAGCGCCGACAAGCGCAAAAGAAAGACAATCAAAYGTGTGTATAGATTCTTCGTAGCAACAAGAAACGACAACGCGATGTTCARAAACTGGATCAAATTGTGCGAATTCGTCGAAGAAGTAAACAGATTTCATAACATCACACCCAGATGTATCTTCAATATCGAGTTTCGCTGGTTGATACGAAGCTTAGCTTAGCTACATGTAATTGAATTCAGTCTAAAAACTCAAATATTAACTTAATGTTATAAAAATATAACACGGTTGACCAAACCTTGAAGTTTTTCACATATAACAGAAGTATTTTAATGTTATTCGCAGTTGGCGCAATTTACCAAATGYGATTTAAAATTTCGTGCGCGATAGAGAAGGAAAAGTTAAATTAAAAAGTATTTGCGATCTTAGCTCTAGTTTCCTCAAGACTAAAGACAAATAGATTCAAAAGGATATCAAAACGCAGAGATATCAGGGTTTTACTTGAGGAAATTTTTCCTCGTTTACTGAATGTAACGAAACATTATTTGGGTATTTTCTCCTTAAATTCAGAAGACTCAGAATGCACGCTTGATAAAAGTTGACTACGGTTCAAACTATAAATAATAAGTTCAAACTTGCTAACTAAATTGTAAACATTTTAGAAATGATTATAGCTAGCACTAGTAGCAGCTTTTCAATTTGCATGCACTCGCGGAATTTGAACTGACGTAAGTGGAATGACTCATATCACAAAGCTATTTATCAAGGAATATATATTTTTGCATTGCAATTCGACAATGAATGTCTTCTGATATARATATTGACTAAGTCTCTCGATGTAACAGTTTAACATCGCTGGTTTTTCTTTTGTTCTATGTATGCGATTGAACAGAGTTTTCACCCGATAGCTGGGGCGCTGGTCAGTGGACCAGATGGGCACCAAAATCACTCAAGCAATTCGTATTGTTTCAACTTATCTCAAACGAAAGCAAGAATCCCAAACATTAAACACTTGTATTACTTTATTCTCGCCAGTAGACGCCTAGAGCGAACTAAATGGGATTAAAATTGAACGCCAAACCATCGCTGTTTTCAATTTAGGATCGACACTTTGGTACTATCGATCTGAAGTAACTCTTACGAAGTTTTCCCAAGTATACTATGTATTTGAGTGTAAGAGACATACCTTTCTAAAGATCTTGTAGTGCTAGACAAATTTCTCCAAACCTACTCAAGGAAAGACGCGTATGCCAAGTGCAAACGAACTCTTCGTAATACCCTGGACTATCAAGGTGTGCCCAGCTTACAAGGGGGGACATTTTGGRCTAAAGTTTTACAAATATTTATATATTTGCTCGGGTATTTCTTCTCCTTGATAGTTGTGTTTCCCCCGACATCTTCCAGAATGCAGACTATTTATAAGCAATTGATTCTAAACGCTGAGGTTTGATTGGCTGCTTACAAAAGGGGTCGGGTTCCACTTAAAAAAGTTTGTCACGCATCGTTCAGCTGTTCAAAACCACGGAATTTATGGAATTCATAGACGTACCTTAGGTATAAAATGGATTCCAATAAGAAAGAGGTTACGGAAACTAGTACAAATATTTAGTTTGAGAAAATTTAGTCAAAATTATTGCAGAGTGGCAAGAGTTTTATTAAAGTTACAGCGTGCAGSTATCTATTTCGCTTAAAATAATAATCTTAATAATAATCGGTCTTTTTTGTAAGCGTTGTATGATTGTTTGGGGCAAAGGTTTTTACTGTCAAAAACGTCTGATATAAAAAGATATAGTTAGGAAATGTTTATTTTCTGGCAAAAATTCTTAGGATGAAGTATCCCTTGCCTTGAAAGTTCTTTTTTTTCTGAATTTCTCGCTGGCAACAGGACTTACAGCTGGCTGGGGCAATATTATAATCATTTATTGTTTAAATGTACTCTTTTTGTAATAAATTGTAACAAAAGGCAGTTAATTTGAATTCAGTCAGTTACTAAGTGACTTCAATGAAATTTTCAGTCACAAATAACCGTTCAGATCTCAAGCTAAGAAGTTATTAGCCTTTCCAACAGACTTATGGAGAGGATTACAATATTAGTGCAGAGGGAAGCGCTGTTTCTTTATGGGTATCATGAATCCAGTATTTTTACCAGACTCCAACTGGCAATGACGCCATTTTGTGCAGCAAAGCATGATGGTAGTTGTAGTCCTCGAACTTTTCATAGCTCCTAAAATATCTCCTTAAAAGCCGTTTTTGCATTTTATTTTTAGAAACCACAAAAATACTTCTTTTCAGTTTCCCTTAGAAAAAGTAAATTTTTTTACGGACATGAAAGTGAGAGGACTACAGCTACCATCATGGTTTGCTGCACAAAATGGCGTCCCTACACATTGCCTATTGCGCTTGCGCCAGGTTTGTGTAGTGCAAGATAGGAATTGTGGGAATGATCAGGAAGCCCGATTTGTGTGACACAAGGTATCAAATCGTAATGAGTTTTATGTTCGCTGTTTCGGTAATCCTCCGCCATCTTTGAATTTTCCGCCGCCATTTTGTTTTGTTATGATCCGTTGCGGAAACAAAAATAATCGAAAAGTCAATATATCGGACGAATACTGAACTAAGCGAGAACTCAGCTCACACATGCCTAACATGCGCTCATTTGGTGCAATGTACATTGATATTTCTATATTGCTGGATTTTGCGATGATATACGGCGACCCCATTTTGTATACTCATGAATGTTCAAACATGATGCCGAKATGAAGTTCTTGCAAATATACAACAGTCCTAAAACAGTTTTTGGGATTTCCTTTCTACGAATTATACGTTTGGAGAGAGAAATGGTTAGGAAGCCTTTTGTTGTAGGTTTTTGTGCACTTTTTTCCAAGCGTGACAGTGCTCAATCTTTTGTTCGTCCCGTAAGAAAACAGTTGTGCACGATCTTGACTTCAACCTCAAAATATATACAAATTAAGAAGTACAACAAAAGGTTTTCAAACCATTAACTTAACTATACTCAAACGATAACCCGCTTTAATTTTGCTAAGAAAATGTTAAAACGGTTTATGGAGAAAACTAATTCTTTATTGACAAAAATCACAAAATAATTCGTTTWTTGAATTTGGTCAGACAAAATTGCTTAAGTTTACAAGATATTTGTGAATATATTTGCATGGGTGCCTATTGGGGGTAGAGTAAGTCTATAATGAAGTCATATTGGTTCCCCTATCATGATGGTGTACATGCACTAGTGAGTCTAATTGTTACTTATTCMATTCTTTATACCTAATATCCTCTGAGGGGTACAGTGAGCTCATTTTATCATACATTTCTATTRTGAGTAATGTAAGTCTAGGGTGCTTTCCATTTAGGCAGAACTGGCCGGCCAGTCCACTCTATTTAGAGGCATATAATGCTTTTTGTCAACATTTTTCAGTCAGGTTTTCTGTAAAATAATGGATAGAATTTCCTAACTAAATGGGAATGATATATAATGACATTTTCTCTGGG